TGGAAGAAAGAAACACTGGAATCATCTGTGAATTAAACAATGGTTTATATAAAGGGGGCAGGATACAAGGAATCCAAGAATGAAAAACTCAGACAGATTCAAGGAAATCATTTAGATTGAGCTTGTAACTCATGAGGATAAAAGACTAAACTGTATTATTTTCATAAAAACTTCTCTGCTCTAGAAGAAATACGCCAGCAAGTTTCCTTGCAGAAATGCAAGGTGAGTTAAACAGGGAGCCCCACATTTAAAGTGTGTGTAGCTTTAAGCAACTTACCACTATTACATGCCCATTTATCTAAAAAGCCATCTTTGCAGTGATGATATCCATTCAGGTTTATCTTGTCTGAAAGTTCTTTACAATGAACACACGGGTAGGGAGCTGACACTATTCCAAGGGCCTATTATATCAGATGTTTATACAAATAGTATCATCTTTTTTGCTAACAAACAGTCAAGAAAAGGCAGGTTATCATCATAGTTTGCCACATCATTTGAGGCAGGACCAAGGCCCTGCCCCCTGTGTCTGGGCTTAGCAAGGTGTCCCTTCATAGGGAAGGAGCAGGAGAGGGACCTGGGATTGGTATGTAAAATAAGATTGTTTTAAAAAGGAAAAAAGAAAAGGCAGGTTAAAAGCTTGAAATAATAGCTAATTCGTGGTACATGTAGCATATACATTAAAAGAAAATAAAAACTAACCCCATACCCCTGTGCTCCTCACGCTATTTCCAAATGTGTCTGACACTGAAATGGCCTTACATTTTGGGCTTTCTACTTCATCCTTCTTGTGCTCGCCTAAAGGGGCCATGACTTTTAGGGTTTCACAAATTATACTGAAATATTATAGAAAAGTAACAGCAGCTTCCTGACAAATATCCCAACAGGATATGTTCAGGGCATACAACAAGTACCCAGGAAACATATGACATACCTGATTTTAAAAGAAAGTTTTTAAATATTGAAAAATCATGGCACAGAGGGCAAATCAGCTAATGTCCAGTATCATAGTGCAAAGCTATAAAAGAGACTAGAATACTTTGGTGTGGGCATATTATTACTGGAGTCATTTATTATTCCCCTAGACAAAGAATGTCAAAACATGGAGGTGCCTATGTTTGCTCATTGTAAATACTCATTTGGTCTAGAGCTTTGAACAGTGTTGCCCACTGGGTATGTAGGGAGGTCATTGTCCTCTGCCCCAGTTCCAAAGTCTGTCTTCTTTACTCCATGGTTTGCAGCTTGGAAAAGATGAAGATGAGGGAAGAGTTAAATCGTCCTCCTTAGAGCAAGGGTCTGTGCTTCCGCCTGCCATTCTCTCACCCTCCCAGAATAAATTGCCACTTAGAGAAAGAAAAGCCAAACATTTATGAAACATACTCCTACTTAGAAAAAAAAGAATTGTTTTGCAAATAGTAGCACTATTAAAAGAGGAGGGAGAGAATAGCATCAGTCATTTTATATTACATATAAGCAGTTTATTAAAGAATTAAATATTTATGGATTATAAAGTAAGGCAGGCGATGAGTCGCAAAACAGCTTGCTGAGAAGTACATTCCAAAGCAATGAGTCTGTCACTGATTGATAAAGAGTGGAGAGTGCAAACACTTTATACAATTCCTAAGTTAGCTATGTATTTCCAGTCTGGCAAAAACAGGACACAGTTGCCAGCAATGCCACACCATTTTGTGCTGATATATATGCCAAAAGCCTTCAGTGAACCCAAAGTGACTCTTTGATCCTGCGAGTCCATGTAATACAGAGAAAGGGCTGCAAGGCACAGCAAACTGCAAAGGCTTTATGGACACCCCTTTCCAAGCTAATAAATATTAATCTAGATGGCCATGTAATACATAAAACAAAGAGACCTCTCCCTTCTTTACAGAACCAGATAGCCGAGTCTAATTCTTTGACTGTAGAAGAGAATCATCCGAGATTTAAAAGGGCAAAAGTCATCTACGCAAGGTCACATGGCTAGTTAGTGACAGAATGGAAGCTAAAATCCATGTCTCTTATGCATTAGAGGCACATTCCTTCCATAGTATCACCTTTCCTCAATCCTCCTTTCAAGATAGAATTCTTTCTTACTCTCCATAAAAATATCAAATGCTAAAACTTGTGAGCTCTGGGGATGGGAGACAGCTCAGTGGATAAAGCACCCGCCAGCGAAGCCTGAGAACCCGGGATGGAATGCCCCAAGCCCATGGAAAGCCAGATGCACTTTCTCAAACAAAATTACATTTTAGCCATGCTTGGGTGATAGTTTTATGGGCACGAAGCTTTAGGCAGACACAAGCATGTAGAGTCTGAAAACATGGACACAAGCTGCTTCTCATGTTGCCTAGAGCCAGAGCTGACAGGATGCTGCTGGAAAGACACTGGCCTCCTTTAGAGGGACTGATGACAGCTCTCTTTTCATGGCTGAAAACACAGGAAGATGAGTTGTTCCTCACCTTCAGGAGGACGACTGATAAAGACCTAAAACTGTTTCTACGTTTAAGTGCCAGATAGTCACTGTTCCTCTGCTTTGTGGCAGTTGAGAACTTCTACATGTTCTGCACATACTAATGTGGAGTTCTAACCTTTCTTTTCCATGCCTTCACATTCAGTCATTTTGTTTCTCCAAGTCAAAAAGATTGAATTAAATCCTTTGTGTCTATACATCAGCTAACACATGGGCTTATCTAGAAAAATCAAAGCACTGCTGCTCTGCAATACTACTTTCATATTTGAATTTGTAACAAAATCATATCCAGTGCACACAATCTATGATTCTATTACATGCTTTTTCTTAAGAAAGCAACTACCTTATAGAGAGGTATCATTAACAAGTCAACAGCCCACACATTTTAGAGTGCAGCTCTCAATGAGTTTAAGTGCGAAATACCATTATCAAGACCACAAACACATTTATGAACCAAACAAAGTTTCCTTTAGTTTGTTGTTGTATGTCTATAGTTTTACACACACACACACACACACACACACAGTTTATATAGTACATTTTAAGTTGACAATACTGTGAGCTATGGTTACTATGAAATGAGAAATCACTCGAATTTCTTTACCTAACATAACTAAAATTCTGCACCCTTTAAGTATCACACTTCTCCCTTCTGTGATGGCTACTGTTCTAGTTTTTTTCTATGAGTTCCATATTTTTTTTAGAATATACATGTCAGGCAATATGGTATTATTTATCTTTCTGTATCTGTATTATTTCAATTTGTCCAGTCATGTTGACATAAATAGTAAAAGTTTCAAAACTGAATAATATTATATTGTATGGACATGCCACAATATCTTTATCCCTTTGATGAATAATACGATTGTTTCCATATCTTAGCTACAGTAGATAGTTTTGCAATGGATGTGGAAGTAAAGATACTCCTATCTTTTCTTTTAGATATACGCCCAAATTCAGATCACCAGAGAGTTCACTGTTTTAATTTTTTGATATTATTGTCCATAGCAACAGTAACAATTTACAATTGTATACCTCCTTTCTCCCACATCCCTGCCAACACTATCTCTTATCTTTTCAATTGCAGTGCTCTTAAAGGTGTGGGATGCTATTTCATTACATTTTGGTTTGTAGCTGTCTGATGATTTCTAACCTTGAATAATACTGTCTCATATGACTGGCAGCTTTTGTATGTTTTCTTTGGAGTAATGTCTATCTAGTTATTTTGCCGATTTTCCAAGTCAGCCCTCCTCAAGTTATGTAAGTTCTTTAAACTGCAGCTAACCAAAGACAAAAAGCTTTTATCTTGTGTCCTTGGAGTTTTATGGTTTCAGGTCTTATGTTTATGTTTTTAATTCATGTTGAGTTGCTTTTTGTGTATGGTACAATTACTCATTTTTATTCTTTTGCACATGTATATTCTGCATTCCTGCGCTACGTACTAAATATATCATACTTTTCACACCACGTATTCCTAGTACCCTTGCTGAAAATGAGTTGTTTACACATTTACAGGTTTTTCTCTGGGATCCAATTCTATTTCATTTATACATGTTTTGCAATACAATTTGGAATCAGTGGGTATAGTTCTATTCTTCTTGTTTAAGGTTGATTTGACTACAAAGGACTTCCGTATGAATTTGTGGACTGACCTTTCTATTGATGTGAGAATATGCCATTAAATTTGGATAGGGGTTGTATTCAGTTTGTAGACTGCTTTTGAGTAATGTGTTAATTTTTGCCGAAGTGTATTTAGACTCCTCAGTCTTTAAGATGCCAGTCTAAGATCAGATGGCTCCACTGCTTTGGGCCTGCACTAAGTTGCACATCATGATGGAAACATGTGGCAGAGGGAAACTCCTCATAACACAAGCCAAACGGCAAAAGAAACAGAAAAGGAGCCAGGGTCCACAGAATCCCCTTCAAGGATCTGCATCCCATAAGGCCTCATTTTTTCAAAGGTTCAGGTACTGCCCAGTAACACACCACCCTGAAATCCAAGCCTTTAACACACAGGCCTTTGAGGAAAGTTGAAGATCCAAACTGTAATACTAATACAGGCATTTTAATTTTTCCAAACCATGACCATGGCCCATCCTTCCATGTATTTTGTTCTATTTTAATTGCTTCCATTAGCATTTTACAATTCACGGTGTACACATCTCTTACCTACATGTCATAAAGATAAAAACAAAACCAGACCCTCTTCCCCTACTTCCAAAGTACAACTGACATACAAGACTTCTGTGACCTCAGAAGGAGTGGGCACCTTTCCCCCACAGAAAGCAGTTAGTTGTGGCAACCAATGTGTCGGCTAGCTGTCCTCTAATTCAGTTCTGATACTATCTGCCTGGAGATACGATGAGGTACCATAGATGGAAGGTTCGGTCCTTAAGACTGGCCAGCCTCTCCCACTGTAGATGCCAATCACAAGCCCCAGGGTTGTTTCAGCTGTGCTATAAATCAGGGTTCTCTAGCCCCTTTGGCTTTGATTAATTTGCCCGAGGGACACAGAGAACTCAGGGAAGCACTTACTTACATGGAATGACTGCAGCACGTGTGTGGCCCTTCAGGTGTCCCATCCTCTAGGAACCTTCTTGAGTTCGGCTGTCTGGAAGCTTTCCCAACCTAGCATTTTCAGCTTTCATATGGGGACTTCACTGAATAGACTGGATGGGGCTTTTGGTGCAGCATTTCTTCCAGTATGGTCTCTTTGGAACAAGGAGAAATACCACATAAGGCTTGGTCATGGTGCTTATCTATGACCAACTACATCATAAAAGGCAAAGGCAGATTAGAATTTCTATGACTTACTTTGGGGCAGAGAAATCCTACTTTTCCATAGCTTGCTTTAGGGAGAGTAAGTTACAAGGCAGTGTGGGTGGGCATTTTGCTAGATTTGATTTTCACCCATTCAGTACATTTCTTGACCCAAAGTAACCATTGATAGGTAAGGCCTCTGCTTCTACTTCGCTGCTTTCTCCCTTACTGTTCTGTCATTTGCTTTGTTTGGTAGATTCTCAGAGTCGGTCTCATCTGCCCAGTTAGTGGAAATGATTGGATAATGGAGAAAGATAAAAGTTCAAAGCTGAATTTGCTCAGCTGATAAGAGACTGTTAGATCATGGGCCTGACCCTTTAAGACTGTGGCAACTAACTCTAAAAGGCCAGATCCTGTAGTCTGTGTCTGTCTGTCTGTCTGTCCTCCTCTCCTCCCCCCACCTCCATTAATAAGTTGTTCTGAGGTTATTATGGTCCAACCTGGCTCTCACATGCTCTTTGTCATATGTGCTACTTCGAAACGAATCATGATGCATGGGACTTCCTGCCATGCCCTGAAAGCTTATGAATGTCAGATATTTTCCATTGTGTGTGGGACTTCTCACAGCTTTCTCTGCTGTCCTGTCCATGCAGCTGTCCCTTTCTTACTCCTGCCTTGTACTACCTTCAATGAAGCTCCAGTCAAGGCTTTAAACAGAAGTCCCCTCTTTCCTTGAAGCCCTACTCGTGTCTCTAACATAATGTTCTATTCCTTTCTAGTGCTCTCCCATTTCAGGGCCCATTGGGGCTCCTGTGGCTGCATGACCCTTTCTCCCAATGAAGTTTGTTCTATAAATGCAACTTTGTAGTAGCTCTTTCCTGGAAGGGCTTCTATATCCAGCAGAGACACATTGAATGTAACAAAGTGAAGAAAGATGGTAACTAGGATAAAAAAAAAATAGAGACATAGTGCTGTGAAGTTAATGGGCACTCTCTTCTCAAGGGCTGCTAACTGTTTACTGGAGAGCACAACAGCCCAAATTACAATTAAACAGAATCCTGGCACCAAGGGAGAACACAGCCTGTGTAAGAATGAACTTAGAAAGTCATTGGGTGGAACTGTGATGGTTGAGATGTCTGTGCAGAGCTGACCTAGAACCCTGAAAGTGGTACCAAGGCCACTGAAGTTAGAGTGGCAGCGTACAGAGAGGCAAAGGGAAACAACTGGGATATATCAGTGTAAAAGGCAAGAGGTGCTCCATGGGCAAACTGATTTACTAATCACAGAAGAAGCGTCTCTCTTAAAACTCGAGAGTGGCAAACAGACGATTAAATAAAACAAGATTATTTCATATAACAGCATTTCAGAAATTGTTACTTCACAAATAAAAAACAAGTAAGGTTAAAGAAATCAAAACTAATAAACAGATGCTAGATTTACAATGTATTATTATAGGGAGGATGGAGTGTGTTTGATAGTAAAGGATTCAGTGGAGCTAGAATACTCGGGTATTTTCTGTATGAATTTCCTATGTTGTTAAAATGTTATCTTGCAATCTTGCTTAAATTTCAATGAAGAAAATGAATCAAAGTAAAACTTATCTGAACAAACATAGAGCATCATTAAAGAAATCCAAGTCAATGATCTTGGGGCCTGCTGATGGAAGAGCCCACCCACGACGCCAAGACCTTTACCCGTAGTCGTCTAAATTAAGTTATTGTAGAAAGTGCTGAATGCTCTTGTTATTTTGTGTCATTCTGAAGGACTTACCAGGACCTGGTTTCTGTATTTTCACACTCCTGAACCTTAAGTTCACCTAAAACCCATCTTTGTGGAGTTCCCCCAGATAAACTCCAAATCAGCCACAGGACTGAAAACCAGTTCTTTTGGCATCATTACCCAAAGTGCAAAGAACTGTTACAAAAGATGTGCTAATGAAGACAGTAAATTAGTAGTTGAGAACCGATTTCTTGTGTCTTCAGTTTTCAGCCCAATATAACAACGATGAATTCACTTCTGTGAAGATGAAAAGCACAGACCAAACTGTAATTCTAGGAGCTGTTATTACGAGCTCTCAAAACCAATTGTTAACAACTGTATAAGCTCAAAGTCCATAGCTAACTGAAGGCCATAGATTTTTCCCTTTGTTTTCTCCATTTTGCCCTTTAAGGAAAGGCTGTACTTACTTGTTTGTCCCCAGGAAAAATTAGATATCAGGGTAAAGCTACTGTTTCTGAAGAATGACCAGCGATGTCAGGAGGGGGTTGGGGGTGTCTCGTTCCCCACAGGGTCTTAGAGAAAGTTATCACTTTAAGGCAGATAATTCCCACATCCACATGGTAAGACGAGACAAGCTGTGCTTCATAGAGTTAATCTTCAGAAAAAGATATGGATCCTCAGGCAATGTTTGCAAACAATGAACAATGGATTTCATGGGGTGAATGTATCAGTCAAAATGGCTTATGTGTAAAGTGAGTACCAGCATGTGATTAGCTGCTCATAGATGACGGTAGAATGGAACTTGGGATATGTGATCATTTATTTCCAAATACACTAAATGTATAACATATTAACAAAGGGGGAAATAAATATGACATAGATAATTTCAAACATTACCTAAATTACTCACAAATGACAGATGATGAGGAAAGCATAATTTAAGAAATTTAATACAAATGATACTCAAAATACATAATTTAACTAGAATTGCTTTCTATTCTTAAGAAGAAACCCAGGCACTGTTCACTATCTCACAAGCTATTGTCAGTTTGTCAAGGTTCTTACAATAGTTTTCTAGTCTCCTCATTTGTACTTACCCCAGACTACTCTATGTATGTGTGTGTGTGTGTATGTGTGTATGTGTGTATGTATGTATGTATGTATGTATGTATGTATGTATGCATGATCTATCTATGTATCTATCTATCTATGTATCTATCTATGTATCTATCTATGTATCTATCTATCTATCTCATAGAAATGTGTTTATGCTACTACTAAATGACTTCTGCAGTCTTACCACACAGAGTAACCCGGATCAGGCCTCTTTCACGCTTGTCACTGCTCTTTGTTTTGCACTGCTCTTACACACCAGCCTCCTCGGGCCTGCCATGTGCAGCCCTACCTTGGAGCTTTTTGCCCTACTCCTTTCTGTTATGCCACTAGACAGCCTGATAGTTTGTACTTCATTTTCTTAACCTTTCCAGTATAGCTTTTCCTAACAACATTTGCATGTCAGCAATGTTCTTGACTGTTCTTTGCTACTTTCTTTTTCTCCAAAGTACTTCCCTAGCTGGAATGTGACTTACTTACCTAATTAGTCCTTGCTGTTTCTTGCTTGGATACTACTTGGCCTGCAGAGACTTTAGCCATTTTGCTTACTTCTGTATTCTCTGGCATTCAATACTGTGCCTGGAATAGAATACATTCTTGGTAAATACCGCTCAAGAGATGATGCCGTAGTTCCATCTTTAAATCTCCAAAGTTACACTACCTGGATTTAGATTCAGACTTCAAAGTAGTCTACCTTCATAAAATACCAGTTCATTTCCTAGTAAAGTGGGAGAAAATTATAGTTGCCATGTGCTTTTGTGAAAATTAGACTAGATGTTTCCCTTGTTCATTCAAACATCTATACAACCATTGAGTTACTGGTGTCAGACTTACCTTATGTTTATATTCTGTTAATTTTCCTCCCTAGTGATCTAGAAAGTCTCCGGACAGAAAGCTGAGGTTTTCTGGGAAAAATGTAAAATATACATAAAAAAATCTAGATTTAGACAAGGGCACAGAATTTTGGTTCCTACCAGAAGCAAATAAAGAAGGCCATCTCACTACCACATGTTTCTATGAAGAGGCACTGTCCAGACCACACTGAGGCAGGGTGGACCAAGCAGACTGTGGTAGTTTAACAGAGTCGAAGGGGCAGAGACAAACACTTATGGAGTCAACAAGTCAGGGATTTATGTATACTTTCCAAGAGGACAAAGATCCAATAAGGATGAAACCCACAAAACTGCTTAGGGCAGTGCTAAGTGGCAACTCCCTAACTTTCTGTATGTATCTGTATGTATGTATGTATGTATGTATGTATGTATGTATGTATGTATTTTCTTAAAAACTGAGGGTTCCAATGAGATATTAAAAGTTTGTAGTCATCTATATTTATGCACTATAAATAAAAGCTCATAATTATCTAAAATATCGATCAATACATTTTAATATAAAAGGCGCCATGTAGTGTATTTTAATGAAAAATAAGTATATTTTTCAAACTAATAATACTAATGAGAGAAGTTGTATTATTTTACTTTTTTGGCAATTCTTGTATTTTCTAACTTAATAGAAAATGTCTGTATTTTTTTATTTGCTTTGGGACTCAATTTGTTGCAATCTTATATGCCATAGAACTTCTAGAAAACTCTACCACACACACTTTAGAGCACATGAAGGTAGAAAGGCAAATGGCATCTTCATATAGTAATGAAAACAGTTTTAAACCTACAGTCTTGGTGTTATTACCAAGTTGCACAGTTAGTTTAAGCTTTTATCAGGCTTAAGTCTTTGGGTAAATACCAACATACGCGTATAGAGGGTGAAATTGCACAGAGCAGGGAAAGAGCTCCCAAGGAATTGTAAACAGAGCAATACTTAAACCTTACTAGACTAGAAGACAGTCAAACCCTAACACCCAACATGGAAGGATTGTGCGCCATGTTTACAACATTCAGTAGAGGCACCAAAGGAGCCAAGTTTGGTTAGGAATAACTCTAAACAAATCTTGAGGAAACTTTACTTTTGATTAACAAAACAGGTTTTCATACCTCAAAAACAAACATATCCAGAAGCGACTTTATTTTATATGCATCCCTAAAAAGGGAGACAACAAAATACAGTCAACAATTAAATAGTCATAATATCCAGCATTCAACAGGAAAAGTAAACAAGACATGCCAAAAGGCAGAAAAAGGTGATTCAACACTCAAAGAAACATAGTCACCAGAAGTTCTAGAAATAACAGAGATAATGGCAATAAAACAAAAACAGGAACAACCTTCAAATAGCAATTTGTAAAGCTGGATGTGGTGGGTTTTGTCTGTAATCCCAGCACTGGAAAGGGGAAGTAGGAATACTATGGTGAGTCTGAAGCCAACCTGGATTACAAAGTGAAACCCTGAGAGTGACTCTCTCTCTCTCTCCCTCCCTCCCTCCCTCCCTCCCTCCCTCCCTCCCTCCCTCCCTCCCTCCCTCCCTCCCTCTCTCTCTCTCACCAAATACGTGCAAGGTTTCAAATGAAAAAATCAACATGAGGAAAATATAGAAGATACAAAAAAAACCAAATGGAAATCTCAAAGTTGGAGAATACAATATTAAAAATGGTTAGTTTATTGCTTGAATTTGAAAGCAGAGGGACTGAAGACACTGATAGAAATGATTCTAATTGACTCACAAGGGAAAATTTGGAGAGGGAAAGAAGAATAGAGACTTAGTGACATGCGGGGGCAATATCCATTGATCTAACATAGAGAATCAGTCTCTGGAAAAGAAGAGGGGAAATCTATATGGATATCTTCATATTTCATAAAAGTATGGATCCAGGGGGTTCAAGAAATTAAAATTAAGCTGGTAGACCTGAAAAAGGAAATCTGCCTAGTTCCCACAGGCTCAGTATCTTCAATGCTTGGTCCCAGCTGAGTGGCACCATTTGGGGAGTTTGTAGGAACTTTGGAAAGTAATACTTGGCTGAATGACATGAGTCACTGGGGACAGGTCCTGGGGGGATGTTATCCCCGAGCCTATGCTGCTGGATCCTTTGTGTACTGGCTGGCTATGATACAGGTTGACCTTCTCTGTAACATATTCACACCATGATGTTCAAGCACATTTGGAGCCATGTATCTAGAGCTTAAACCATCTGAAACTATGAGACAAAACAAACCCTCCTTTAAGTAGCACTTCTTTGCCTCCACACATGGGCAGGATTCATGCTTTTCCCTCCCTTTCTCCATCCCTCCCTCCTCTACCCTTCTTTTCTTTTCTATATAGACACCCAAATGTTACAATTCCATTTGTTGAAAGCTGATCTTTTCCTCATTTGACTCAACCTAACATCTTTGTCAAGTACTAACAGGTATGCTCCTGGGCTTGACTCTGTTCTGCTGATATGCAGGTTCATCCATATACAAGTAGTACATTGCCTTGATTACTAGAGCATTGGCGTGGGCTGTGAAATCAGTTACAGAAGGCCTCCAATTGTAATCTTTTGTCCATTTCTTTGCACATATATTTGCTAATTTCTACATTTTAAAAGCATGCTGGAATTCTTTTTTTGTAATTACAATAATTCTAGAGGTCAATCTAGGGAGAGGTGACATCTTAATGATGTTGAATACATTAATCCATAATTACAGCATACCTATATTTAGTTCTTCCTTAATTCTCTTCAGAATATCACAAAATGTCCAGGAAAAGTTCTACACAATTTCTGCTAAGCAACAACCTTGAGATATACCCACATTTGACAAGAATTTTTCTTAGAAAAAACTCTAACAATGTTACAGTGATAGAACAGATAAAAGTCAGCTGTGTTAATTTTTGATTAAGTAGCTATAATTTAATTCCTAATCAATTGTGTTTCCATGTTTCCTGTTTAGTTAGCCAGTAGAAAGCACCACAATTTATGGGACCATTAGTAATCATTCAGTTACATCAAAGTTCCATATGTCTTTTGTGGCTAAGAATTTATTATCTATTTTTCAATTGCCTTATTCTTTCATTGTATCCTCCAATAATTTTATATACATACATCAGTATATCCGTCTTCTCTTTTCTTCTTTTTTCTTCGCTTTATCTTATTAACCAAGGTGCCTATAGGTTAATGTATTACATGAAAGATGAGAGGAGAGAGGAGACTCAAGTGATAAAGTAACTATTCTATATGGTACAATTGAGAGGGGAAAAAATAGAATATCTGAAAGTAGTAGGTATCATGAAGACCTGTTACACTTTATGAGAAAATGTAAAATGCAACCAAAGACATGTTGCTCCATCCTAACAATGACAAAAAAAGCCAGACAGTCAGAAGAATCATTATTTGCTTGGGCACAGCAGAGAGTTGAGTTTAAGGACAAGCAGAGGCAAGCTAATCTCATAGTAAAAGCTCCTCTGAAGAAAATGGACACACAGTTGTTTCTGGTTCATCAAAGTAAAGAAAACACAATCTGTGCTAGATTATATCAAAGCAAAACAACTACTATCTTAGAGTATAGTATCCTGATACAAAAAAATGTCTACATTTGCTTACAAGTTCTGAGGTATGAAGTCAGTTACTTCTTAGATACTTAGACTATAGCAGGGCAAGAAACCTTCCCTTATGACTTACTATGTAATGTCTATAACTCAGTAAACTACAAAACATTTAAATTATAGGGAAAAGGTATTTAGAGAGGAAAGCCTTGAGCAGAACTAGAATAGGAGATGACAAATATGTTGGTATTCTATGGGTATGCTAGGGAAACATTTATCCCAGATGCAGAATTCTCTGATGACTTATCAACAGGCAGCACATATATGAAGAAATGAACACCAATGAGCCTTAAGATAAGACATTCAAAATTACGCGGAGTGGAAAACAAAGAGCAACCATAGTGGGGTTAGAAACCTGAGAGAGCGTCTGCAATTGGTGCAATCTCCAGCAGTCCAGTTCATACACAAGTTTAGGAGTCCCAGAGGAGAAAGGGGAAAGGAGAGGGAACAAATACTGAGTCACAAAAGTACTTTACATAAATAAGACTAAATAGCAAAAGATTGAAGAGAACTTGTCTTATTTACTTTTGAAAGGCTGTGAGAAAACACCATGACAAAGGAAACTTGTAAAGAGAGTTTTTAATTAGGCTTATGGTCTCAGAGAGTCAAAGTCCATGATGGTGAAGCAAAGAATATGGGAGCAGGAGCAGCAGAGAGCTCATATTTTGGTCCACAAGCAGGAGGCAAAGAGAGAACACTAGGAATGACATGTGTCTTTGGAAACCTCGAAGCCTCCCTCCCTCATGACACACTTTCTGAAGCAAGGCCACCCATCCTAATCCTTCCCACATGTGAGACTGTGCAGGCCATTCTCATTCAAACCACTACAGAACTCAAAGTAGAACAAAGCACATATATATATGCTCATTAGGACACCATATTTGAACTGCTGAGAAGCAACAATAAAGTATTGAAGACAACCAGAGAAGAAAATAATTATTACAGAGAAAATCAAATTCACAGTGGACTACTTACCCAAAATGGTACAAGGTGGAAGGCACCATTTGACATATTTAATGTACTAAACAAGTTACCAACTCAGAATTTTATATTTAGGGAAAATGATTTTAAACAAAAATTTTGGGGGTGTAGGATTGGGTGGTCAA